AATGAATTCGTCCGAATCATCAGAAATCTAACAATCCAAGAATTCCATGCACGAGCGTCAGGAATTTGCAGACAAATTTGTGCAGCTGGCAAGAAATGAAACCTTGTAAGGAATCTAATCACGAGCGATGAGCTCATTTTCCTCTCAGTGGAAAGGCTAAAATCGAAAATTATTAATCCCAGCTTTTAAAATATCTGCATATAAATTATATGTGCCACCTCACACAGCCATAGAAGCTGCTAGGCGGGGAATGCCTGAATCCAGTTTCTTCGAAGAAATTTATTGAATATTCTAATGAAAATATGAATGGTACATTACATTAACAGAAGTTTCAAGAATATTTTACACCTGAGCAGGTGATAAGAATACTGTGAACGTCTTTTACGCAATAATTTTGATCTAAGTTCACACATAAAGCGTGATAGAGGTAAAGTACAGACTTTTTTTTTCAAGGGTAAAATTGCATTTACGCAGCATGCAGCGACCCCTTCAATTTCCAGAAGTTACCTTAATTTCTCTTACTGTCTAATGAAGAAGCCAAACTTTTCTTGCAAGTTATATCTCACTGCGATAAAATGAAACGTTAAGAAGAAACCGCGGCGCCCGGGTCTGACTTAACATATTACAAATTTGTACCACCAATTGCAGTTATAAGGACTATTTTGTTGCTCAAATTATTGCGAGCAACGTTTTTGTAATCATCATAGTAATATTATAGCAATAAATCCTTAATATATCATTGTCATCACTATTTAAACTTGACATCTCTGCTCAGTCACCTTCGGCGGATACGAGCATTGTATATAAATATAATTCACCACATATAATTTATAACATAGAACACAATAAATATAATAAAAATGTATAATATAATCATGTCCAGCATTACTGACTCTTGCGACCACTCTATTGAGCAGCTAGCTGCTACGATCCTAACGTGCATTACTTGTGATGTTGACGAGGTTTTGGATGAATAATAATAACTTGAATATAATTTATTTACTGTCGATTACATAAAGTTCATAATATCAGCAAATTGATTGTAATATGAATTAAATACTTCATTTTATTTGTGATATTTTTGTTAGTGCACTGATGTGAGAAAAAAATTGAGTCCCTCGCCCATTGAAAACTGTCATCAATGTGAATTTATTCACAATTTAAAATGAGTTGTATACAAGTGTACACAAATGGCCACTATATGACGTGGTAAGGCAGATTTCCCTCCTTAGTTCAAGTTTGATTGAAAACCAAATTAGGTTTAGGCTTTCGATCTTCATCCACTATACTTTTATTCTTTGTACTTATGTCAATTCAAAATTTTATATATAAATGTTGTAAAAGTTAAAATTACTCGAAAATGAAAATTGTATATTCGAAAAATCATATGATATGAAAATTTCATTTAGAATTGTTCTTTTTGATTTGCCGGCGCCATCAAGAAATTACGTCCAACTCATTAAAAAAACGTGAATTATCTATAAAAAACATTCTCTGGTCTTCAAGAAAACCCGTATACTTATTTAATTTTTGAAGCATCGGGATGCTATTTTTTATTTAATCCAGAAAGAATTCCAGAATGAAATGATTTGGATCCAGATGATACTATATTTTAACAAGGCTCTTCCGCAGTACAAATAACGTACTAACATTTATGCCGCCCTCAGGTAGCTCATCAATGCCCGGCAACAGATAGCGGTAAGCTCCACCCATCAATGGCTAAACATCAATTAATATATTATGACCTTTGAAAGTAATTAGGATACTAAGTGGGGCCAAGCTATGCGTTTCCATTGCCTGCGGTTAACGTCCATTAGTTACGATGTAAGATCACATAATTCAGTGGCAATTACAACACGTGCATGATTGTTAACTAATTTTTATCTTATTATTTTATTATTATTTTATCAATCGACTAATTTTTATATTATTTAATCCATCAGTAATATCGTTGCAGGAAAGACAATGCGCGATGCAGGAGGAATTTATAAATTTAGTTTGATCGAGGCTAATGATTGCATAAGTTTGATAAAATTTGCTTGTTATAATATTAATCCATGTCAGTAATGAATAAGAAGTCAATTTCCGTTGCAATGTACAAGTAAAAAATATGAAGAAACTTATGATGTGTATTTCGAATGGATGCCAACAATGAACAAATTTTTCAACTCGTTAATTGAGACGTGAAACAGATGTGACTATTTCATCATGCGGACAAAGCAGGATTGATTAATAAATTTAAAAAGAAACTGGGCTGGCATAAATCCGTATCCTTCAATTTGTGCTTTATTTTAAACAATGCAGAACAAAATATCGCTCCAGCGCTCACACAGTAGATTTATCTGACAAACAGCAAACGACGGAAGCTTGTAGACTAGAAAATACTTGATTTTCATTTCATGAAAATTATTGGTCTGAGACCACTTATTTCTATTAGTGCTTAATATATTATTATCTGTCATTTTTTAGTATTCAAAATTGTTTATAATATTGAACTGCAGTTATTGCTAGCCCAAGTATATGCAAAATAATTGGCAGATCAATCTTCGTTAAAGTGGTTTTGTCAAATACGCATGAACAAAAAATTATCCCTAAAATTAATTCCTGATAAACAAGAAAACATAAGTTTAAAATAATGAAACTATCGTGCGTCACAGATCTTAGCCAGTTACAATCCAATAGGTTTGCCAATAAAAAGCCATTAATGTTAATTATTAGCAAGCTATTGTGTCTAACCATCACCAAGCTATTTATGTTTACCATTAACAAGCAATTATTATAGTTTACAATCAACATGCCAAGCTAAACAAGCTAGTCTACTGACATTGACAACTCACTGCTAATTTATTAATCAGGTTTCAATGTACAACCGACGAGTATTCCAGATTCTCTTCTTCAAGAAATCAAGATTAAGCCAGAGAATCTTATGTAAAATGCAGCTGGATTAAGATTTATACGAAGGAGATGTCCGTGCGAGTCATGCGACGCTACAACATCGATCCTTCGTGTACCGTTTAAGTCTAAGTCTGCACGAGACGAAGTGATGGATGAGACTAGGTGATGAGTTTGAGGGTTAGGGAATGAGACGTGAGTAGATAAGTAGATGAGTGTATGAGTAGATGAGTGTATGAGTAGATGAGTGTATGAGTAGATGAGTGTATGAGTAGATGAGTGGAAGAGTAGATGAGTGGGCGAGTAGGTGAGTAGGTGAGTAGGTGAGTAGGTGAGTAGGTGAGTAGGTGAGTAGGTGAGTAGGTGAGTAGATGAGTAGGTGAGTAGGTGAGTAGGTGAGTAGGTGAGTAGGTGAGTAGGTAAGTAGGTGAGCAGGTAAGTAGGTGAGTAGGTGAGTAGGTGAGTAGGTGAAGCGTACAAAACTTTATATAGAACTTACATAGTGCCCTCGACTGTTCTTGGTGCTCAGTGAAACTTTAGGCCAGAGAATGAATATCTTATTGCCCTATTAATTACAGAAAATAACATTGCTGTTTCTTGCTATAGAATGGCGTAGTATAAGCGAGTAGTTTTCAATATATTATTGACCAAACTAACGACAATAACTGTCATTTTCCCATTGAAGGCTCATCAATAGAACACACGAGGACGCATTATGCACATGATTGCCTTGAATAAAGGCTACTGGGCGCTGTAATATTCTGTCCCAACAAGCGTTGTAGCGCTCGGGAAAGATGAATGGCTCATACTGTTCTCATAGTGACACGCTTCATGAACAATTCATTGATACGCTCGTTTGTTGCGCGGAAGGAAAGGGGGCGAAAAGTGCATGACAATTTGAAAAAAATATAACTCAGTACTCACTGCAGTGAGTGACAAAGAGCGCATTTTCTCGTCGACGAAAACTAGAGGTCACGGACGGACGGACATGACGAGCACAATAGCGCCTTTTTTCCATACATGAGAAAATGCGCTAAAAACACTCAGGTCTTTGAGTGAAGATAGATCATTCGCTACATTGACCCCAAACTTTTGAAGCGTCAGGTGTTTGTGAAGAAAATCTTTATAAATGCGTACGTTTCTAAAGAATGTACGTAATACGGTCTGATAGTGAAATAAATTCACCGAAATTAAACCCAAAATTACAGGAACAAGAGAGGCTATTTATAAAAATTCTGAATATTGACCTGTTCATGATATCGTTTAACGGTTGGTGATCCTAGAAAAATAACAGTAGAAAATAAATATACACGCGTAATAAAAAAATTTTCGTGAAACTAGTTAACCTGACTATCATCTTCCGTTTTCCATTCTAACGCCATTTGCGGATAGCAAGAAAGATTTTCGAGTTCCGTGGATTTTTTTTATACTCGAGAAGCGTCCAAAATTTATGGCAGATTGTTATCTCAGCGGTCACCTAACACTCGAGCGACTTAAGGGTAAGCTCGAGTTGCTTTCGACTAATGGGTCGTAAAAATCGAGCAAGTGATGAACATAAATCTAGACGATAATGGGTTTTGTTGTGATCCTACTTTAGCCTGAGAATTGGTATTTTGCCCGCTCTGCGATGGCGTCAATACCGCACCGTCAATGCTCACCATGAACTCCCATTAATCTCATTGATTGATGACATTTTCCGCGCGGGGCTAAAGCGAAATGGCCAAGCCATCGCAGCGCTGATTAATCCTTCATAAGAACTCAAGCTTTCGTGCACTTCTCTATTTATTTATTTAATAATGTGCTGGTATATAGCTTAAATAATTGACTCTAATTCGTTCATTATATTGAAATACAAATGTCAACGAGTTTAAATCCTTGAACCACTCAAAAATTTAAACCCTGACCGCATACAATGAGTTTAAACCTTAGTCACAACAATTGGAAGCCGAAATAATTTAACCAAAATCGTCATTCTATAAAAAAGTTGCTATCTATACAAATAAACACAATATTCTAGACTGTGCACTGTAAAGGTTTGGAATTTTTCATTCTACAAATAGAGACTGGATAAATAATGTTGATATTTATTATTAAAAGCAAATACTTACTTTGGCTGCATCGCTGGTCCAGATGAAGTCATATTCATCAAGCGTCTGAATCTTGTGTCACGTTCTCCACTTCCATATTGCACGTTTTCATCTTGGACTTTAAATGGTATTTGCGCTGAAACTTCAGGTTTAAAATCAGTGATAATATCGATCGCTGGTCGACCTACACTCGGTTTTGTCAAGTCCACAAGTCTATGGCCAGAAGGTTTTTGTCTGTGTTGATTTGCATGCCATGTCAGCAAAATCCTTTTCTTGGTGAGGTGTTGCAAAGTCACGTTGCCCCAGTCGGCGTTAGGATTTCCAACTCCCACGCAGTCCTGCCACTGCCATCCATGTCCCCAGCACAACAAATGTCCTTTCTCGTCCCGGCGTGTAGATGCCATGACTTGGACGAGTTAAGCAGGCCTCCGCAAATGTGGAACACTTTCTCCCTTATTTGCCTACCCGCACCAGACACAATGCAACACATCAGACTGCTCCTCCAAACTTTGACAAAAATGAAGCTTAATCCAATTTTTTTTAATCAGAAAATGTTTTTATAAACTCGATCTCAAACCGGAGAATATAATTTTTCCCTGTCTACACTTTGTATTCACACACGATTGCGAGTGAAACTTGCCTATTCATTCTGATTTAGATTTGAATAACTGAATGCATTTTATGTTCAAATTTCGTTATTAACACTACTTGATAAAGTACTTGTCTCTCAAAGTCCACCGAATTTTCGGATTGATCAGAACGGATCAGAACGGATTGATTGATTGGATTACAAATATAAATTAGATCAAAAGCCTTTTATCAAGTGAGTAAAACATATTTCTTACTTATGAAGGACCGTTCTATTTTGTCTTATCAATCTACTCTTGGATTAGATTGGGATGGTAAATCACTATATCACTACAAACTTTCACTTTTCACCGTCACACCATATATTATTTGCAACCTTCTCGCCAACTCCAGCTCAATATTTCAGTAACCTTATTTTCAAATGCTTTCCCTAAATCAACAAGATTCTAGTACGCCGACACTTACAGAAGAATATTATTAACGTCACGGCCGAAATTTGAGGAAAATTCTGCCGTAAACCTTATCTTACCGCAAGTTTTTGCACAAGTTTTCAAATTTGTCCGTTTACAGCGAGATCTCGCGACAATATCCTTGGAAGTGGGGGCCTGAGTTTGTCAACTTGCTGGTCACTGGCCTGACCGGCAGCTTCTGTAGAGCAAAAGGAAAACTTTATCAATTTCGGCACGCTTTGATCACTAAATTTTGGTGCAGATGTGGAGAGAAAGATCATTGTATGAAATTACTCTTTCATTTGATTTAACAAATAATTTAATATTGGCAGAATTTCACAGAGACCAAAAGAGATGGAAAATCAACAGGAGAGAACAAATATTTCCATCAACAATTTTCAGTGGATAAGAATGTATATTATATATATTTATATTATTTACACTAATTTTCTATCTAGAAAAGTAAGATTTATTGGGGTAAGGAGTTTTGCGATATTGTTACTCTTACCGCTGTATCCCACACTTGTTACATATTTGACTTACTTGATATTTCGGACACAAATCTGGTATAAAAGTTGCGTGAAAACATGTATACCAACTTGGGCATTGCGCATAACGGAAATAATATCGTTAATGGCTGTCTGTGACATTAGAATTTACACTACCTTCTCGCGCCATCAATTGTACAGGGTGTCCCAAAAAAACGATACTCAACTTTGAATGGCTGTAACTCAAAAAGTAATAGAGTTTGGTAGGTCAGGATTTGTTCTCTATGTTTTTCTACATCTCTCCACCAAAAATCAGACAGATCGATGTGGCCATAAGCGTTTGATAGGAATTTCAGTGACATGTGCTAAAATCGTGCTTGCGCAAAGTTTTAGTAAGATCATTTTGCATAATCATTACGTTGTCTTGACATGTTTTGTTTTCGCTGTTTTATTTTTTGTATATCTGATGAGACCAACGATTGTCATGATTGTCTCTCAGCAAAGATTGTCATGATTGCCTCTCACCAAAGATTGCCATGATTGTGTCTCACCAAAGATTGCCATGATTGTGTCTCTCCAAAGATTGCCATGATTGTGTCTCACCAAAGATTGTCATGATTGTCTTTCACCAAAGATTGTCATGATTGCCTCTCACCAAAGATTGCCATGTTTTTGTCTCACAAAAAATACAAAAAATAAAACAGCGGAAAGAAAACATGTCAAGACAATGCAATGATTATGCAAAGTGATCTTACTAAAACATTGCGCAAGCACGATTTTAGCACAAGTCACTGAATGCTCTATCAAACGCTTATGGCTACATCGATCTGTCTGATTTTTGGTGGAGAGATGCAGAAAAACATAGGGAACAAATCCTGACCTTCAAAATTTTTTTAACTCTATTACTTTTTGAGTTACAGTCATTCAAAGTCGAGTATCGTTTATTTTGGGACACCCTGTAGATTTTATTTATGAGGGATATTATATTGTTCTACAGGTTTCTTTCAATCTTTGTAATTACTGATTCATGCAGAAGTAATATTATGAAGTTCTTTCCAGTGTGATAAAAAGGAAATTACAGGGTGATTCACGTAAACTTCTTGATATGCCTTTCACGCCAAGCAGTCAGATGTTGTAGGGAAAGGGCATAGCTATGATAGGCAAGATCATGAAGTTTTCTGTCCCGCCCAGGCAATTGCCACTTTGCATTGGACAAGTGATTAGCGTGCGTTTGCTGTTGAGGCGTAACTAATGGCCGTTCCATTATCGCTATTCAACAAGCATTCCGTACTCGCTTCCGTATTCGTCCTTCAGGTCGGATTCCTGATCGGAAATCGATTGTTATGAGGGTAAACACATTTAAGGTTAGTGTAAGTGCATGTGAATGCAAGAGGGTCTGGAGGTCAGTAGACTGCAGCAACGCCCGAAAACTTAGAGAGAATTAGAGAGACGTTTCTGCGTTTTCCACACTTTCCGAGACGACATTTTGCAGAGTGCCTTATCTTCCTGAGAGGTGACCTTCTTTGGCAGGCCCAAACCCTCGATTTGGATCCATGTGATTTTTTATGTTGTTATCATAAATCAATTGTTTATAATGACTGTCCAAGGACCCTACCTAATACAAAGAGCAACATATTCCAAGTCATCGCCAACATACCCGTCAATATGTTTCAGAGAGTTGGATGGAACTTCAAAAATTAACTAACTGAATTCACTGACAATGGTGGCCGTCATTTTTCCGATGTCACCTTTAAAATTGAATGATAAAAAAGTCAGGTGATGCCTTTTTCTAAAAAATTATACTTTAATGATATCTTAACTCGTTTTCTTTTTATTGAGCTTTCAAATCAGGAAGTTTCCGTGAATCATCAAGTATTTATTCTTTAGTGGCACATGTGGATCTGTGTTTAAGAAAATAAAGTTTTACTCGTGAAATAGTTTTTAAATATTAATTGGCATAATATTAAAATCATTTTCCACTTTAGATTTAAGGTTGTTCTCAATGACCACATTTTATCCTCACATGCTAATAAATACTGCTATGCGCAGTGCACTTAAGCGTAGCTCGGTCACAATCGGCAAATGCTGGAATGGAGTGCGTTAGAATAAGAGTTATCTTACTGGAAGCCCACGTTTGCATCCACCTCATTCAGCTATGAGAATTGCCATCAAACGATGCGATATTCTTGTGTACAATGGAGATTAATAGCTTTCTCTTACACTCCAGTGCTACATTCTTCTTAGTTTTAGAAACTTTGTGTATATATAAATGTATTTTTTTACTGAAATTGTTTGACTAAACTCTTGAGTTTTTACTCACTTTTATGTTACTAATTCTCTTACATTTGCGTGTGCACTCCAGTTTCGCTTCGGATACTTTCTTTCAGTCAATTTAAGTTTGATTGCTCAATTTAAGTTTGAGGTCTTCTTTTCAATAGGAATTTCTTGTGAATGTGTTATTGAATTTTTGAAGGTACAATGAAGCTGATTCCCAAAAATTTTCGTGAAAAAATAGGAGTTTTTTTTGCTATTCCTTTGCAAAATCTTGCTTAACGTGCCCAACATGATTTCAAGTTATCTCAACACTAAGGTATATTAATTTGTATACAAATCAGATCGAACCCATCATGTCAGGAGAATGAATACAAAGTCAGAATACAATCAGTGACTACGCTAGCAAAATATAAGTGAGGAAATTTTCAAGTAAAATTCAGTACCCTGGGTCCACTGAATGATCAGTCTGACTCACAAATGAATCTTGACAATAAATCAAGATCAAGTGAGTAACCTTACAGGCACAAAATTTGTGTATTAATTAATTCGACGTCTGTATACAAATTTAAAACGGCATGAAAACTGAGAGAAATGAAAAGTAATAATAATCAGAATTGTAGCCTTCACAATAAAATTTTAAGATATATTCTCCAGTTTTCATATTTCTATAGTCACATAAAAATATCAAAAACATCTGTCTCAAAACGTTTCTTTTTAGTCACAAAGAGTTTTCCAGTAAAAATCGTAGCGTTCAGTCCAGGTTAACGCGGGCGCGCTTGATCTGGACCTGGTGAATAAAGTATAAAACTGGGAACGATTTTTCAAGCGTCGCAGGGGATTCTCTTTGAAACGAACTGATGCGAGGACGAAACTCCAAAGCTCGCCTTTTAAAAAGGGACTGACTCAACGTGAAGACTAAAGGAAAAAACTCGAGCGTAATAACGGTGTTCAGTAAAGCAGAGCTTTATTCTGATGTTCCATGAAATGATGCATCACGTTATTAACATGGAGTGTTATGTTCGTTATCAGTTTCCAGCGCTTGAAATAGAGTGTGTGTGTTCGTTATCAGATTCAAATGCTTTAAACATTAATTGTGTATGTCTGTTGTCAATTTCAAACGCTTTAAAAATAAATTGTGTATGTCTATTATTAGTTTCCAACTCTTTAAACTGATAATTGTAAGTAAGTAATCAGTTTCCGATACTGAACGTGTGCATGTCCATTTAAAAATTCAACCTGACTTTCCAATTTTTATTTGTGGATAAAATGCAAGCGGGCTTGGTGGGCTTAAGGGGAGCGTCTGAGTCAAAAATGAAAGTTTTGACTTTTTCAATTTTCATACTCATCTTAAAGCTTACATTCTGACGCATCTAACGGTACCAAAACCATCTCTGTACGTTGATTTATGCGTTCACGACAGATCGCGAAAGGGTTAGGGGTGGTGGAGTTCCTTAACATTTAATATAGGCCTAAATTACCGGTAGCACACGCTAGTCTGAACACGCTGTGCTTCAGTTATCCGCTTGCAGTCATATAGGATGGTACTCGTGCCGTCGTTCGCATCATCCTTGACAGAAATTGAGCTCCAATATCGTGTAGTCTTGCGACCTTGAACCCTTGAATGTCTTTTTCGAGGCGCGCGCGACTTTGTCGGGCCCTACTGATAGTTAACTTATTGTCACTGCAAACCTATCTCCTCCTAGAATTTTGAAGCTACATCAATGAGACAAACACCATTCGATTGGAAAAAAAAGATCTACAAAAGAGTGTATACGTTTTTCTAATTTCGTTACAGTTAAGATTTTATTCTGCAAAAAGGAGGGGGGGCGAGGGGTAAAATCGAAAAATTTCCGACAACTTTACAAAAATGCTCCCACACCCACAAAAATGAGAATTTCAAAAAACGCATACATACTTTTTTAGATATGGTCTTTACGCATCGAATGATATGTGTTTCGATGTTGTAGCTTGAAAATCCTAGGAGGAGATAGGTTTTCTAAAGTACCCTTTTTTTGGCCGTTTTCTA